TCCAGCCAGCGTTTATCCAAGATCACGAAGATGGCCTTCTCGCCGCCTTCCTTTCGATACTCGGATTCTCTGAGGTGCTCCACCATCTTCAGCACCTGCCCGGGCAACAGGGTCCAGACAAAGCTGCCACGGGCCTCCTTCGGCAGCTTATCCATCACCAGAAACTTGTTGGTGCACCACATCTCCCCAGTCGACGTTGTCTTCTCTAATAAGGTAGCGGAGCCCATGATTCGCCATGGGCGGATCAGAGCCACTTTCCACCTATCAGCAGGCGAGAGCCTCAGGCTCCGCTGCCACTGTTGGCGGCAACAATCAAGACGGGCCTCTTTCTCCTTTCCGGGCCATAAAAAGTGCTGTCAGACGCATACCTTGATGCAGCATGTGAGAGATCACTGCACAAACAACCGTACACCCTAAACCCTATATAATATGACACGCTATGGTTTAATCAAACCCTACACCGTACCCAGGGAAGTCGTGGACCGTGGTCTTAGTACATCTGGATGCCCATACCGTCGAGACAGCGCAGACTTCCTGCAGTCCCACACCTCAAAATATCAATCCAAAGCGCACCCCAAACCCTAAACCCTAAACCCTACGACAGCGGATGCGAAGGAGCCGACATATTCTAGCAAAACCTAAAGAGTTGTCAGCAGAGAGAACAAGGGATTGTTATCCCTTGTTAAGCCTCTCTCGCCAGGGTTGTAATTTACACCAAATTTCTGTTCCACTTACGAAGGCCCAAATATTAAGGCCATCAGAGTTAAGGCCTTCTGACCAAACCCTAAAACCCTAAACTCCCTAGACAAACCCAAACCCTAAATAAAACCCTAGGTCTCTCTCTGCTAGGTGGCTTTGGATGCCCCAAGTCGGCTTGTTTTCACAACTTTGCCCCAAGGGCATCGAGGCTCTTTGGGTATTGGTACAGGGGGTCTAGGGCTTTAGTATGGTTTGTGGGTTTCAGGTTTAAGGGTTCAGGATGTAGGTGTTTATAGGTTTGGTGTTTAGGGTTTAAGGGTTCGGGGTTTGAGTGTTTAGGATGGTCTGGGAGATTCGGATTTTAAGCTTTTAGGGTGTAGGAGTGTATACAGCTGTTTAGGGGTTTATGGTGTGAGGGGTTTAATTTAAGGTTTGGATTGCGGCGTAGTGTTTGGGATCGGGGTCTCTCCCCCGTAGGATCTTCGGAATCTTCGGAGACGGAAGTAACATCAGCAATGGCGCGTTGGTAGTAAGACCAACAGTTGCTATTCCTAGCTTACTTTGATTGGCATTGTGATGATGATCATGTCGGTGGAGGGAGTCAGGAGATACAGGGTCCGGAAGAATTGTACGCTCATAGTCACTTTCCTAAAAATAAATAGGGGTACTCATAAGTAACAATATACAAATGCAGATGCTAAGTGATGTGAGATGCCTGGGCGATGGTGTCACTGGAAGAGACCGGCCGCGCTTTGATGCAACATAGGAGCCTGATCACTCCTCACGTTATTTCTTGGGGTTTCTGACTGTAAATGTAATGCACTTATGACATACCCCAAAATCCTTATCAAGGCCCCTGTACCACAGATAGTAACCCTTATCGAACAATCAAAGCATCTCTTAAAGGAACCCTCGTCCACTTCTTAATATCCCCTGTATGAGCTAAACCCTAAACCCTATAAAACCTGAACCCTAAACCCTAAACCCTATAAAACCTGAACCCTAAACCCTAAACCCTATAAAACCTGAACCCTAAACCCTAGGCCCTAGACCAAAGCCCACAGTTCCCTTCAAGAAGCTCCCGCGGTTTCTTATGCACGGGCCTGTCCGGCGAACAGCATGTGGGTCGTTCTCTAAAGTAGGGTCCCTGTTGGTCCTTTTTTATAAGGGTGCCGTACTGTATTGGGGATTCGAACAAGGGACCCTAATTTAGAGAACTACCCATGTCTTGGGAGCTAGAGCAAAGACCGATGTTCCTGACGAGGCCACCATGTTTGCCTTGATCGTCGCCTGCCACAACCTCGGCGCATCTGGGACTTCAATACTTAGAATAGGGTCCTTTGCAGGTTTCTATAGTGGGTTCCTCCTATGCTTCCACATTGAGTTCCTTCAAGGGTAATATGTTGGATTCTTTTCATCGAACCCTTAAGCTCCAAACCCCCCACAAAAAACCTAGACCTTTTCTATTCGGGTGAAAGTTGTTTCTGGTACAGGGATGCTGTTGGGATTGAGACTTGTAGAGCCGGTGAGATCGGGCTGTAGACAAGGGCTCGACGTGGGCGCGGCATGGGACTGTGGAGAAGTACAAGCACATGGTTCAGTAAGCTGTAGTCTTAGGTTTTGCGTCAAGCGACCAACCCTACGAGCCATCATGTCGATTTGCGTGCACGTGCATCTGCTGAGTGGCAAGTGTGCCTCTATGGAAGTGGAGGCGGATGCATCTGTTCAATCATTGAAGCACCGCGCCCAAAGTGCTCTGGTGGTCCCGGGTACAGGGCGGCTGCTGAATTCTTCTGGAAAGGTGCTGGACGGAGCACAAACTATAACAGAAGCCGGGTTGATGCGCGGAGACGTGCTCACCCTACATGTGAACCAAGTGCAGCTTAGGGCGACTCGGCGAGGCGGTGTGTTCTCTGCGTTCGCCGCACTTCTGGGTGATGGGTCTGTGGTCACCTGGGGTAAAGCCGGAGCTGGTGGCGACAACAGTGCGGTACAGGATCAGCTGCGTGATGTGCAGCGGATCCAAGCTTCTTCTTGGGCCTTTGCTGCAATCCTGGGTNNATGGGTCTGTAATCACCTGGGGTAGATCCGACTACGGTGGCGTCAGCAGTGCGGTACAGGATCAGCTGCGAGATGTGCAGCAGATCCAAGCTTCTGTCGGTGCCTTTGCTGCAATCCTGGGTGATGGATCTGTAATCACCTGGGGTAGATCCGACTACGGTGGCGACAGCAGTGCGGTACAGGATCAGCTGCGAGATGTGCAGCGGATCCAAGTTTCTGTTGGTGCCTTTGCTGCAATCCTGGGTGATGGATCTGTAATCACCTGGGGTAGGGCTGACGAGGGTGGCTACAGCAGTGCGGTACAGGATCAGCTGCGCGATGTGCAGCAGATCCAAGCTTCTACTTGTGCCTTTGCTGCAATCCTGGGTGACGGTTCTGTAATCACCTGGGGTAGGGCTGACGAGGGTGGCGACAGCAGTGCGGCACAGGATCAGCTGCGCGATGTGCAGCAGATCCAAGCTACTAGTGGTGCCTTTGCTGCAATCCTGGGTGATGGATCTGTGGTCACTTGGGGAAGGCCCGACATGGGCGGCGACAGTGGTGCGGTTGAGGATCAGCTGCGAGATGTGCAGCAGATCCAAGCTTCTACCTTTGCCTTTGCTGCAATCCTGGGTGATGGATCTGTGGTCACCTGGGGTAGGGCCAACGATGGTGGCGACAGCAGTGCGGTACAGGATCAGCTGCGAGATGTGCAGCAGATCCAAACTTCTGCTCTTGCCTTTGCTGCAGTCCTGGGTGATGGTTCTGTAATCACCTGGGGTAGAGCCGACTACGGTGGCGTCAGCAGTGCGGTACAGGATCAGCTGCGAGATGTGCAGCAGATCCAAGCTTCTGATGGCGCCTTTGCCGCAATCCTGGGTGATGGGTCTGTGGTCACCTGGGGTAGGGCCGACTACGGTGGCGACAGCAGTGCGGTACAGGATCAGCTGCGAGATGTGCATCAGATCCAACCTTCTACTTGGGCCTTTGCTGCAATCNNGATGGGTCTGTGGTCACCTGGGGTAGCGCCGACTGCGGTGGCGACAGCAGTGCGGTACGGCATCAGATGCGAGATGTGCAATAGATCGAAGCTTCTGTTGGTGCCTTTGCTGCAATCCCGAGCGATGGACCTGTCGTCACATGGGGGGATGTCGACCATGGTGGTGACAGCTGCACCGTACAGGAGCAGCTGCCTGATGTGCAACAGACTCTTGTTTCAACAGGTGAGAAGCAAACTGCGCGCCCCTGGTTTTGATGGACTCCTATAGGTCCTCCAGTAATACACGTTTGCCGTATGTTCTTGGTATCCTTGTTCATGGAACTAAACATGGGAGAAGGTGCAACATCCATTGGCACTATGTTGGGTTGTATTAAGGTGACTGTAAGTGTTCTATAGCTTTGGTTTGGAGCTTTCGGGTACAAGACTACCCATCAAAGGCACACGCGATTCTGCAACACAACACACGGTCCATCTGAGTATATAGTACATATATACAGTATACACCGACTACATTCTACAGACACGTCGCGACGTCATTGCCACAATGGAACGGCCTTTACCAACGAACAAGCCACCCCATGTTTCGTGCTTTCGGTGCAGGTTGCAGTTGCCAGCTCCTGCGGCGCCTCTGGGGCAGCAGAGAGAAGTAGTGCCCACGTCGAATCCAGGGTCTTTTTCGGCTGATCTCCGTGCCTAGGGGCCAGGAGAGAGGGGTATGTCGAGTCTAGACATACGCAGTTGCAGCGATTCACGAAGATACGATCTTGTCAATAAGCACAATAAGCAACGCTGCACACAGGATTCGCACAGGAATCGCTACCGGGGCGGAGGGTGAGACTACTTTCTGATTCGGGGTTTAGCAGCCTTAAAGCCTTAAAACACGAAAACCCCAAGTCCTCTTCTAAGCCATCTTCCAGTTCCCTCTTCTCCGTTTTTGTTTGCGGTCTTCGTCTGTAGGCTGCCGTCCCGAGTTCCGGCTTCCTAAACCCAACACCCTATACTTGCTACATGGGTAGCTCTCTAACTAAAGGTGGGTCGCTTTGCAGGTCCCCCAATAGTACGGCACCCTTAATGAAAGCAAACCCTATAAAAGGGACCCCCGTCTGGAACTACCCACATGTATTCCTGCGGTGATGGTTGGTTTGGATCTTCATATCCCTCTAAGTGCAGCACCCCCGATTAATCATTGTAGTACTATCTCACTTAAACACCCGGACTCTGCAAGCCGAAGAGCCCTCGCGTGCTACACCCACCTGTTGAGGCCTTGCTCCTACAACGCCTCGGCTGCAATCCACGCGGAGAATCGGCCGAGAGCCAGGAATTCGACAGCCTTTGGTCGGCCTCCGCTATCGCGAGCTGCTTGAGCTGTGCTGGGTCAAGGCTTTAAACCCTAGTGAAACCTCCAAAACCTAAGCCCTTTTGGGCTTACAGGGGGAGCAGTGGCGGAAAAAGGGGTCAAGGTTGGGTCCAGGGTTTGGACACTTGTGGTCCACGAGGTTGCTGTTGCAAGTCCGAGTTTTGGGGTTCAAGGACGCCTGCCAGAGTCGGGCGTGGGGCGTGTAACGCAGGGTTCCGGGTTATGCTTTAGGGTTTAGGGTTAGAGGGTTAGAGGGTTAGGGTTTAGGCGCGCTGACAACGAGCCCTTGTAGAGCCCTTACAGACCCGAGGCTTGCTCCCATTGATCAGCGTCCTGGCCCTTCTCGCGCTTATTCCAGACGTGAAGCCGGGCGAAGCTCGACTGAACCTGTTTAGGGTTTTATAGGGGTTTGGGGGTCTGGGCATGGGAAAAGTGCTCCATCGAAGCCACGGCACAAGAGAGATACATACTTCACCGGGTATGCTGAAGGAAGTTAGTTCCTGAAGAACCATGCTTAACAAGAGAACCCTAAACCGTAAATCGATATATGATGAGATGCTTGGTGTCTCAAACTAAGTTCCGTGACAAGAACCCAGGAACGAGTCTCCGACATCGAGCAGGGCGACGGTGCCCGGGATGCAAGTTAAGGGCTTGAGGCTGTATGGCTTAGAAGGGCTTAGGTTGTAAGATAAATATATATATATATATGTATGTATGTATGTATGTATGTATGTATGTATGTATGTATGTATATGTCATATGTATATGTATGTATATGTGTGTATCTATATATATATATACACTATACTTACTTACATATATATATATATGTATAATATGGCTTGAGTTGTATGTGAAATAATGACGGATCAGAGTCTGGGCCTCAGAACAAAAATTGCGTGTTGAAGAATCTCCACGTTGCTAAAGGAACCCGCTGTGGCAACAGCTGCCTATGAGAACGGGCTAGGAGAGACTTACTAAAATTGGCCCTCCCAAGCAAAGGTTCATCACAGTCGGATTGATGTCAGTCGTCACTCCCCCTCCGCATCACCCTTTCGCCCCGTAGACCTTGACAAGAAAGTGTAAGGCTATCGCAAAATCCAAAACTTACACTAGCGGGACCGCCACAACTGCCTCTCGTAGGATAAGACCCCCCTCATGAGGAGCCCCTGTTTGCAGAGTCCTTTCGCGAGTGTCTAGGGCCGACGAGACATTTGCTTCTTCATGAAGCTTCGGGTTTGGTAGGAGTTTAGGGTTTGGGTAGGGGTTCTCAGGGTTTGGGGGATTAGGATTTAGCAGGTGCTTTGGGGTTTAGGGATGAGGGTTTTCAGGTTTAGGTTTCAGCAGGGTGTTTGGGTTCAGAGGTTGGGGTTGTAACGGTCGGTTAAAGCTTACATTAGGAGTTAAGCACTGGCCTGCAGCAGTAGAGACAAGCCTGGACTGTTGAGCCACCTGGACTCGCGCATCCACAAGGGGTCGGCATGATTAAAACCCCTTCCAGTCACTCAATTAGCCTTCAATGATGGGATTAGTTGTTTGTAGTAATATCCCCTTCTAGCAAGAATGCTAGTTATTCCACTCTGAAGAATGACGGCCCCTGTTTTACGCCAGTTTGGTGACTCGGTCACCCGGCTGCTTTCGGCAGGTCCCTCAGACTCAAGGGGAGGATGCCTTATCGGATAGTTGAAATCCTACACCCTCAGCCCCAAACCCAACCCCACAACCCCTAAGACCCTAAACCCGTGAACCCTAAGCCTTGAGGGTGTCTTCGTGTTGTTCGTTGTTGACTCCCGAAGGCTGCTTGAATGTCTCTGAGGCACGACGGGCTCGCTGTGGAAGCAATGGATGGGCAGTGACCATACGACCTCCAGCTGCAGACGGCTTTGTCTATGGGTTCTGTATGGGTTCTGAAAAGGTTCGTCAAGGGCCCCATAAAAGGTTGTATAAGGCGGTTTGGGGTTCAGGCTTTCGTGCCAGGACTTTGAACCTTCCAAGACCTCATGAGCAGGAAGAGAGTAGCTTTGCTCAGAAAATGAAGTAGAGCTTCCATGTGCCAGTGCAGCTCTAGTTTGTGTTCGTTGTCCCTTTGTCTCACTTTCATTCGCTCTCAGTCACTGACCTACTTACTGTCTCATTTGCTCTCATCTGACAGAAGCCTACATAACTACCTGTAATAATATTCCAGAGGGCTCCTTGTTAGAATAGTGCTTTAAAGGAGCGCAAAATCCTATTCTAATGATAAAGACTCCTACATTACAGTATCCGACTGAGCGCGTGTTCCTGCGAGCTTGTTGCACGCATCCCCCCAGTGTCGGACCTTTCTTTTTGTGAACCCTAAGCCCGAGACTACCCTAAGCCCTTAAACCCTGAACACCCTAAACCCTAAACTTCCCTTAACTCTATACCCCGAATGTATGAAACGTCCCTCAAAACCCTAGTCTAATGATTAAGGCCCCTATAACCCTTATAGTAGCCCTTCATAGAACCCATTTAGGGAACCCCTTTTTTAAAGGGGCCCCAAAACCCTAGTTTCACCATTAAGGGGCCCCACCTTACTTGAGCAGTTGAGACCTGAGGATGCTGGTGGAGTCCGACTCATCCTGAGCATTGCCCCTGAAGCTGAGTTTTTAGGGTTTAGGGTTTGGGGGTTTTAGCATTGAGGGTTTAGGAGTTTTAGGGGTGTGCGTGTTTAGGGTTTTTAGAGTTTAGGGGTTTTAGGGTTTTAGGGTTTAGGGGCTTTGATACTTTTTCGGTGCTTGCTTTTGGAAAAGAACCGGTATCAAATCAAAGTTTATACGTTTGTCTCCCTGGTTGCGTTTTTGGGGACTTGATCCTTAAAGGAACCATTGTGAAATTCACGTTTATACTTCTTTCTGACGACTTCAAAGCCCAGGAAGTGTCTCGAACGAGACGGCATCACCGAGCCACGCCTTCCCCCGGGAGAAGCCGATAGTGATTCCAGCTACCCCATCTCAAATGGCGAGGACCCTAAAACCTAAACCCCCCAAAGCCCGTAAAACCCCTAAGACCTAAACCCTAAACCTCCAAAGCCCTTAACACCCGAAGACCGAAACCCTGAGCCCCTATACCCCCTTAACACCCCTCTAAAACCCGACAAATCCCTAAGACCTAAACCCTATACCCCAAACCGCTGAAACCCCCAAGACCTAAACCCTGTACGGGGTAAAAACCACCCTGAACT